AAAGCTATACTCTACGCTAGACTAGATAGAACTCTAGAATATAATAGCCTATAAATTAGCTAAATTATAGAAATCTAAGACTAATAGAATAATAAAGTAGAGCTATTTAATAAATAAGAAAAAAGAAAGGTACTAGAGACTCTATAAACAAAATTTATTAAGAAATTCTATAGTACTATAATATATAAGTACTAGAGAATTAAACGTACTCTTAAGAGACTACAATAAGAATATAGGTTTTTTGTAATAAAGAAAAAAGTTATAAGAATAGTACGAGAGTGTATAGAATACTAATAAAATAAAGTAGTTAGATACTAACTCTATAGACTACTATAATCTTTAGAACTATCTATAGCGCTATAGTAGTACGTTACTATAAACTTTATTATAAAGCTACTTAGATTAGTTAAACTTATATTATAAAGAAAGTATAATACTATTTTAGTAATTATAGACTAATTTACTAAATACGTATACTTCTACCTAACTAGTAAAATTCTTAAGGCTAAAGAACTAGCTTATAAGGTAAGCTAATAACTATTTAGCTAATATAGAATACTAGAATAAGTTACTATAGATAGAGATAAACTATTTACGTCTAAATTCTAGAACGTACTACTAAGCTAGATAGAGGTAAGTAATTAAATATTAACTAGCTTCTATCTATAAACTAATAGCTAAATAGAATAGATAAACTAAACTCTAGAAGAATACCTAAGAAACTACGTTAACTAAGAATAGAATAACTAGATTAAGTTACTATCTATAGTATAGCTAGTATATAATATAGTAAAATAAGAAACTATAGAGATAACTCTCTATTAAGTATACTATAGCTATAAGGCTAGAACTTATAGATTATTAACGTATATAGCTATAATCTCTCTAAAGATAGAAGAAAAGAAATACTAAATAAGAATAATTTATAATAAACTATAGAAAATAGTAGAAAAAATAACTTAATAAGTAAACTAGAAAAGAATTAAAAGACTAATCTTTAAGAAGAGAGGTAAAGTTTTTATTTTATAAAAAAACTTACGTACTAAATAACCTAGTAAAAAACTTAACTACTTATAAATTAGATAATTTAAAATTAATAAATAACTTAGACCTATTAACTTTAGGCTAAAGTTACTACTAACTATATAAATACACTCTATATTCTATAAATCTAAACTTAAGCCTATACCTAATAACATGCTACTTAATAAATAAACTAAGATAGAACTAGACTAGAACTTTAAGATTAAAAAAATACTAGATAAAAAGCGTATATAAGGTTAGTAGAAGTACTAGGTTAGAAAGAAGAGATACCTACTAGAAGAAGACACCTAAGAACTACTAGAGAACCTTAAGAACTACTCTAAGAAACTTAAGAAGTTTTATTAGTAGTACTACTTCTAAAATCTAGAGACTAGAACTCTAGATTCTCTAGATAACTCTAGTTAAACAACTAAAGAGAATTAACTAGAGAAATAGAAGATTATAATAGTAAGAGCTACTACGCCTTATACTCTAACTACTCTAACTTCTTAATATTAGCTAGGTTCTTTAAAAGTAGTACGTCGCGACGACGCTATACTAAATCTAACTACTTTTAGAGATAATTACTACGCGCCTTAGTAAACTACTATAATTTAGTAAGACGCTTTGCTTTAAGGCTAGTCTTAGACTACTAAGAACACAGGTTAGCTAATAGCTAATCTAGCTTCTCTACCTTCTTTAGATCTAATATCTTATTATAAGACTAACTCTTTATAATATACTCTAAATAATAACTAGAAGACACCTTTATAATATAACGTAGGTTATAAGAATAGTAAGTACTATAGAGATTATTAAATATATTAGCGCTAGTGCGTAGAATAAGGTTAGCGTAATAGTAATAGTAAACTATTAAAGACTTAGTACGCGCAGGCGGTATAGTAGAGATAGAAAGAGAAGAGAGAATATAATACTATAAAACTATAGATAATACTACTCTTATATAAGAATAGAATAGATTAATAAAATACTATACCTAGAGATAGAATAGAGCTTTAAGATAACGCTTTAGAAGAAGAGGTAGATATTATAATTATAGAACTAGAAATAGAGTTAGCTAGCTAGAATAGAAAAAATAGTAAGCTAAGTCTAGAGTTATAGATAGAGAATTATATATAAGGTTATAAGAATAATTAGAGTTACGTAATATAGATTAGATAGATTAGATAAAGCTAGATAGATTAGGTCTAATCTATAGAAGTTAGGCCTTAGCTTCTAATTATACTAAGATAGTATATATATATAACTAGAAGAAGCTTACTTTTTATAGCTTCTTATAGTTATTACTTTATTTATTAAATTACTACTATAACTTATAATTTATAGTATTATTACCTCTACCTTTTTATTACTAAAGATTCTAGCCTAAAGTATATCTCTTACCTTCTCTTATAAAAGTAAGCCTTAGTTTTAGTTAAGAGAATAGCTTATAATATATACCTAGATTAACTTAAGTAGCGTAAAGCTTCTATATACTTCTATATAGATAAATTTACTATATAACCTTTTACTAAATAATTTAGGTTTCTATTAATATACTTTATAAGCAAGCTAGTTATATAAGCAAGCTAGTTACTTTCTCTTAGCAATAAAAATTAACGAAAATTAATCTATTTTTCTTAAATAACTAAGTAAAACCTTAATATTTTTCTATAAAAATTTATATATATATTTTCTATAGTATCTTACATCTTATAGTAAAGTTATACTAAGATATATTACGTAATTAAAAAGCTATATATATTTAACTAACTTTTAGAAAAAATCTAGTTTACTTCTAGTAAGTACTATTATATCTCTATAATAATCTATAAAACTTATAGAATATAGTATTTATAATCTAATAAACGATTCTAGAAAATTTCTATAGTGCTAGCTCTTCTAGGTATAGCGTAATAAGAGATAGAAGTTAGAAAAATATCTTCTTTAGAGTTTTTTCTTCTAACTATATATATATAGTTAATCTAGCTATATAAACTTATTATTTTATAAATTATAGTAGACTTTAACTATATAGAGCTTATTTACTAAAAATATAGTAGCTCTAAGTAGTTATTTAAAAGTAAAGCCTTTTTAGTAGTATAGTATAGAAAGATAGAAAGATACTAAAACTATCTTAAAATTATTACTTCTAAATATATAGTAGGCTTATAGTATATATAGACTTATAATATATAGCTTTATATAGCTAGATTATTTATATATATATATAGTTAGAGAAGAAAATTCTAGAAAGACTTTTTATAAACTTCTATCTTTTTTTATACTATACTTAGAAGAGCTAGCACTATAGAAGTTTTCTAGAACTCTTTATTAAGTTATAAATACTATATACTATAAGTCTTTTATATTATTATAGAGATATAATAGTACTAACTAGAAGTAAACTAGGTTTTTTCTTAAAAGTTAGTTAAATACGTATAGCTTTTTAATTATATAATATATCTTAGTATAACTTTAGTATAAGATATAATATACTATAAAGAATATATCTATATATCTTTATAGAAAAATATTAAGGTTTTACTTAGTTATTTAAGAAAAATAGGTTAATTTTTATTAATTTTCTTACTAAAAATAAGGTAACGTACTTTATAAGTAAACGTGTTACATAAGCAAACGTGTTACCTTCTCTTAGTAATAAAAATTAATAAAAATTAACTTGTTTTTCTTAAATAACTAAGCGAAACCTTAATATTTTTCTATAAAAATTTATATATATATTCTTTATAGTATATTATACCTTATAGTAAAGTTACACTAAGATATATTACGTAATTAAAAAGCTATACGTATTTAAGTAACTTTTAAGAAAAAATCTAGTTTTCTTCTAGTAAGTACTATTATATCTCTATAATAATATATAAAACTTATAGTATATAGTATTTATAATGTAATAAAGGTTTCTAGAAAACTTCTATACCGCTAGCTTTTCTAGATATAGCGTAATAAGAGATAGAATTTTAAAAAAATCTTTCTAGAGTTTTCTTCTCTAACTATATATAGATATTAATAATCTAGCTATATAAAGCTATATATTATAAGCTTATATATATTATAAGATTTCTAGATATTTAGAAGTAATAATTTTAAGATAATTTTAGTATAGTTCTATCTTTTTCTACTATACTATAAAAAGGCTTTACTTTTAAATAACTACTTAAAGCTACTATATTATTAGTTAATAAGCTCTATATAGTTTAAGTATACTATAATTTATAAAATTATAAGTTTATATAGCTAGATTAACTAATATATATATAGTTAGAAGAGAAAACTCTAAAGAAGATATTTTTCTAACTTCTATCTCTTATTACGCTATACCTAGAAGAGCTAGTAGTATAGAAGTTTTCTAGAAACCTTTATTACGTTATAAATACTATATACTATAAGTTTTATATATTATTATAGAGATATAATAGTACTTACTAGAAGAAAACTAGATTTTTTCTTAAAAGTTACTTAAATACGTATAGCTTTTTAATTACGTAATATATCTTAATGTAACTTTACTATAAGGTGTAATATACTATAGAGAATATATATATAAATTTTTATAGAAAAATATTAAGGTTTCGCTTAGTTATTTAAGAAAAACGAGTTAATTTTCGTTAATTTTCGTTGCTAAGAGAAGGTAACACGTTTGCTTGTGTAACACGTTCGCTTGTAAAGTACGTTAGTCGGCTTGCTTATATAGTTAGTTCGCTTCTAAAGTACGTTATATAATATAGAAAATTTCGCCTAATATATATAACTAGCTTTCTAGTCTTCTATCTAAAAATATTCGCGTTTTATTCTTAAGTTTCTATATCGAGGGCGACACGATGTCACGTTGGCGGTAAGCGGCGCGCGGCAAACAGCGCAAACTCGCCAAGCGCCCGCATCACCTGATGCAGCCCGCGAGCTCGCTTCCGTCAAGCCTCAACCTCGTCGAACCATCGCCGCCCATCACCGCCCATCACCGCCCCGAGCGCTCCCACAACCCCCAATTGCACCCCGTCTCCGCTCCATTCCCCCCGCTGCTGCCGCAATGTTTGCCCAGCGTGCTCTCGTCCGCGCTAGCCCGCGTCTGCGGCTCGCCCGCGCGCCCCTCCGCCGCCGCATGTACAGCTCCGAGTCCCCGAAGCAGTTTGCCGGCGCCGAAGACAACGAGTTCAACCGCGAGCGTGCCCGCATCCAGGAGCACGCCGCAGAGAGCGGTGGTAAGTGCCGGGACCGGCTGCTGCGTGGCCGATTGCCTGCCGTGAGGGCCCCATGCTGACTGCCGGCTGCAGAATTCTGGCGCAAGCTCACCCTCTTGTAAGCTGCTCGTCTCCCAGCTCCCCGCACCGTCTACGCACCGTCTGTACAATTCAGCTACGAGCCTACGAGACGCCCTGTGGATGCTCGCAACAGAGCCTGGCGGCCCGCCTGCTTGTTCTGCCGAGATGCCGGATGCCGGATCCCGGACACCCCATGCTGACGAGACCACAGCGTAGCCGTGCCCTGCCTCCTCGTCGCCGGCGTCAATGCGAAGCTGAGGTGGGATGCTCACTGGGAGCACAAGGCACACGATGTCCCAATCGAGGAGAAGCCTGAGTACTCCTACCAGAACATCCGAACCAAGAACTTCTTCTGGGGCGACGGCGACAAGGCATGTTACTGTTCCCTCTGTGTTGATTGAATCTCTCTTGCTGACACAGCATGGCCAGACGCTCTTCTGGAACGACAAGGTCAATTACCACAAGAAGGACGAGTAGCCTGCGCGTCCTGTCCCGTTCGGCAGCACGCATTGGCAGCAAGGCATTGTACATAGTAGAAGCGCAGGCGGGCACAGATCAGCTACTAGCAATTCCAGTTCTCTTATGTACCACTACTCTTGAGCCGCCCCACTCGACATGGGTAAGGGTGCGCGCTTCTTCTCTTGTGTGATTATGAGGCACGTTGGCTTGAAACCTCCTTGCGGGTAAGCAGAATAATTGCTCCTGGAGACGCTCTAGCCGCCGCTTCCGTGGTCTAAGAGCGTAGACACGCTTCGTCTCCGCATGTCGCCGTCTGTGATTCGACCCATGCCCTGGTCCCACACTCGATTGTGGTTCTGCGCCCATTCCTCAGCCAGCCTGTCATTGCCCCTCAACTTGGCGATAATCGCCTTCTTCATCAGCTGTTCGCACTCGCCGTCGAGATTCTCGACCTTCTTGAAGCCTGGACCACAGTTAGCCCATATTATAGGGAACAACGAGGATCAGCGCATTGCAAAACGAATGACATCACATACATTCTCGAGCCCTGTCAATGTACAGCTCTGCGCGGCCTATATTAGCCACTCGGCGTCTGGAGCCCTGGGAAGTCGAAGGAATATCTCGGCCAGCGAGTCCAACGTAAGAGTCGCCGATGTGGGAATACAGCGTGCCAGTAATGAAGTAATCGCCGTGTTCGAGGGACTGCTGAGCGTTAGCATTTTGTCGCCAATGGAGATTGAAATAGACACCCGTTGCTGGGGGTGGGATGTGGTTGAACGGACCTGAGGGATGACGGCGTGCAACAACCTCGTCGCTGCCTCGCATTCGCCCACGGCATTTAAGATGTTCGCCAGTATCCCTACGGCCGACCACAGACATGGCATCAACCGCGCCTTGAAGGCCACGTTGGCGGCACGCAAAGCAACGCTGAAGCCCCGCTCAGGCTTTCCAATCTTTCTAAAGAGGTCTGCTTTGGAGATGAGCGTGGAAAGACGTTGTATGATGTCCGCTCCTTGCGCTCTTAACGACGTGCAGAGCGAGTCTATGGAGTTAAACGCTTCTGAGTAGTGGCCGCGTGCAACGAGGTAGTCAAACCGAGCTTCGGAAAGGAGGTAGGAGACCTCAGGATCGGTCAAGGGACCCGGCGAAAGCGACGAAGCGAGGGCATCACACGTATTCCAATCCATCCTGGAGCTTTTAGCCTGGAGGCAAGCTTCTACAGTGCCATTGATTCTTACCGATGCACGGCTCTCTTGAGTCTTATTTGCCCCATACAAAGAAACAAATACTGATGGAATTTCAAAGTTCGACGAGCCGAGGTACCGGGGGATTCTAGCAGACGGAGTGCATCGTCATATCGCCCCGTCTGTGCGACCTGTGGTTCTGGTTAGGAGATAGCCATTGTCCATGGGAATGATGCTTACCAGGAAGGCGTGTCGACCAGTCGCCTTGATGCGTTCATCTAGCGGACTTCCATTCTGGCAGCAATCGAGGAGCAGTTGACAGTAGGCACCCGAAAGATGAGTGATCCCCAAGCGTGAGAACAGCGCGGATTGAAAGAGCATAACGGCACCATGATTGCCTATGTGCTCCCTGACATTGAGGTGGGAGGCCTGATATAAATGTTCCAGTGAGCGCGGAATGGAATCGCCCTGAGCGTAGTCATCAGTAACGATGCAGTCTAGGTTGACGTGAGCCTCACCGTAGACAGGTATAGTTTGGCTTCGCTGACCAAAGTCGCGCCTAGGAGGTTATACATCTTCGTCTCTCTGGCTTTCGCCTTCAAAAAGGCCAATCCCTCCCTCTTCGACCCGAGCATACCCATATACCCTGCACCCTTCATCTGTTTCGGATAGGCTTTGCTTACGTGGTTCAGCCAGCTGAGACTGAAGTTCAGACATTGCATGTCCTGATTTTCTCTGGCTGTAGCGATTGTTTCGTTGATGGCAGCGATAGCCTCTCCGAAGCAACCAAAATCCGCCTGCAGGATAGCCATGTGTAGAAGGGCGTATTGATAATAGTTCCTTTCTCGGGCCTGCATTGCGTAATTAAAGTATCGGTGCAGGTTATCAAAAGCCGATGTATAGTCGCCGGCCCTCCAAGCATCGAAGAACCTCACCAAATGAGCTTGGACAAGGCCGACTCCGGAATGTTCGAGGATGTGTCGAAGCTGCTGCCTCAGCTCATCTGGAACACGAGAGCCAAACCCTGGTGGTGATCAGCGGAGGACAAACTTCTGAGAGTAGAAAACGGAACGTACGTTGCAGCCGATCAAGCTGAAAATCTAGCAAGCGCTCAAGGTCGTCCACGCTGAGAGCTTGTCCCTCATCCTCCTCCTTTGCGGGGTGGCCATATACGACCTCATAGAGATCGTCTGTGGTGCTCAACCCCATGTCGGTGGCCACGATATCCACTCCCGATACAGCAAGTCCAGCAAGTCTCATCATCCACTGCGCCGTCGGCGCTCGATACCGGATGAATGCGGACCAAAGCTTCATAATGTCATCGAACGGCAGTCTGGTAAACTCCACGCGTGCTCGTCTGACGAATATTCCAAGTGGCGAAGTCCGAGAGAGATAAATACGGTCTCGAGGTTCCTCGGGAGCCGGATATTCTCTGGACCGTACTAAGAGTTCCCCGAGACTGTCGAATAGGTTATGTAGCGCGTCCAACGAGTTCATCTCCCACATACGCCTCAAAAAGACATATAGAAGCGTTCGGCCGGGCAACCTGCTTGAGGTATGGTCTTGGAGGACATTCTTAAATGTTTGAATAGAGAAAGAGGTGTCGTGGTGCCCTTCCGGCTGCTGCGCACGGGCGCACGATGCGGCAGGCGGGATGCAATGAGAGAGGATGAAGGACAGGACGGGTATTGTAGCGGGCGAGGGAGAAGCCTCGGAATCGCAGTGGAGTTTGACGAGGACAAGTAGACTGATCTTCGCGGGCGTGAGGTATCTGGTCGGTGACATGTTGAACAGGCGGGCCGCCAAATTGCCAACCTGCGGTCTCCAGAAAGACTATTCGGGCTGCTCTGACGTTCTGGTTATGACACATGCGCTGCGGTGTTGCATTGCTTTGGGTGTTGCGATGTTGATTTGCAAGAGGTGATGAGGTTCGGAAGCTGTGCACGGGCCCTGGAGTGGCTCAGCCCTTGGCGTGGCTAGGTTCGAGGCTGGAGGCTGGGCTGGCCCGGCAACCGGCTGCCGCAACAACTCAAGGATGCACGTCACAATAAGGACTCCCTCCACAATCGTTGCGCCTATGGACTGCACAAACACATGGCTGGCCGTCGTCCACGCTGTGGGCGGCGATTTGGAGCCGCCGCCGAACCCCGAAATCCCTGCTGAGTATTTGCAGAAGCCTCGAAGGCGCCCTGCACCCGACGCTTACCTCCCCTCTCCACCTCTCTCCACATGCACATCTTTGGCACGACCGAAACGACGACGCGCTGCGCTCTCCGAGATCGATCCGCCGAATCAAAAGCGACAGCCAGCGCCTGTACTGATGCCCAGCGTATCCGAGGAGCAGACAGACGAGGGCACAGAGGTTGAGTCGGCCCATGAATCAACAACTTCGAAGCGGTCGCGCAGCCCAACCCGCCGCATGGTCCATCTTTAAATCGCGAAGAAGCCGGTGGTCTTGAAGACGGCGACATTAAGCATAGACGTCCCACAGGACGTGAAAACATTGTACAAGGCGATTTAAGCGCTGGCTTGGCGCTCGAAAGGCGTTATTCCGCTAGGCATTGAGGTACAACTCCTTAGAACGCTTCTCGCAGTCTCGTTGCTAACAGTTCGCCAGACTAAAGTGAAACAGGACTCTAACGGTAACCTTGACGACTTGGAGGACTACGTGGCAAAGACATCGAATGGCAAGACGCACGAAGAATTGAAAGACGAATTTAAAGCTATGCAGGATATTCGGAACGAGACCTTGGTATGCAAAACGAAGCACCTCTACGAACCGAGCTGAAACGAACTTGTGCACAGCTAGATGCTAAAGCAAGCTGTGCTTAGTTGTCTTAAGTTCTCGTACTACAACATTACTACTGCGCGTATTATTAAGAAGCTTATGCTAGGCAACAAATACGGCGAGTTTCTAAAGAGTAAGATAATCGACTTCGCTATTACTCTTAGCTTTTCGCTAATCTCTATAGTTAACGTTATTAATTATCTTGCTACTTCTCTCTAAAATCTTCTCTAGACCTATAATACTTCTAATTACTCTTCTCTCTACTATAAACTTGTTATTCTTAGCATTAAGATAAAATTCTCTAATAACGTACTTTATAAGCAAAAGCTCTATATAAGTAAAAGCTCTAAAAATACTAAGTCTAAGAATTAATAAGTTATTCTTAAATAACTAAGTAAAACCTTAATATTTTTCTATAAAATTATATATATATATATTCTCTATAGTATATTATACCTTATATTAAAGTTATACTAAGATATATTACGTAATTAAAAAGCTATACGTATTTAACTAACTTTTAAGAAAAAATCTAGTTTACTATAAAAGAAGAATCTACGTATAATTCTTTAGACTAAGCTAGTAGTAATAGAGTAATAGTAGAATATATAAATAAAAAGTAGTTAATTCTAGAGTATTCTATAATATAATTCTCTACTCTTCTTTCTAGGTAGAGAATTATAACTATATCTAAGAAAAGTAGATAAAGTAAGCTAATACTATACTAAGCTAATCTAGCTCTATTTAAACTAAGCTAATATAGCGCTAGGCTAATCTAGTCTAGTCTAGACCTTATTAAAGTAGCTTAGGTACTACTTATAATAGAAAGTCTCTTCTTAGAAAGACTTAGTCTAAGTTAAAGTATAAAAAATTCTTCTTTTAGATAGTCTATATACTTACTAAGGTAGTTTATATACCTAGTAATTTAGCTAGCATTAGAGTTTAGAGATATAAAAATCTAAAATTTTAGCTAAATTTTTCTACTTTATTCTTCTTCTTTTCTTTCTTCTTTTACTAATTAGTAAGTTTTTCTAAACTTTAGCTAAGATTTAGGTAAGCCTAATCTAGGCTAGTCTAGACTAATTTAACTCTTTTATAGTTTTTTAACTTTACTTTATTCTTATTAATATCTACTCTTACTCTCTACAGCTCTATCTAGTCTTCTTAATTCTAATCTAGCTCTCTCTAAAGCTTTCTAGCTCTCTCTAGCTACGTCTACTATAGATCTAGCTAATTATTATAAGATCTATCTAGATAACACGTATACGCGCGTAAGGTACTTAGCTAATAGTTATATAATCTACTTTAATAAGATCTTAACTACTATATTCTTAGATAAGTAGTATTATAATTATAGAATTAGAAATAGAGTTAACTAGCTAGAATAGAGAAAACGGTAGGCTAAGCCTAGAGTTATAGAATAAGAGATTACGTATAGAGTTATAGAAATAATTAGAGTTACGTAACGTAGATTAGGTAGATTAGATAGAGCTAGGCGAATTAGAGCTAATCTATAAGAGCTAGGTCTTAGTATCTAATCTAGCTAAGAAGGTATATATATATAACTAGAAGAAGCTTACTCTTTATAGCTTCTTATAGTTATTACTTTATTTATTAAAATTACTACTATAACTTGTAATTTATAGTATTATTACCTCTACCTCTTTATTACTAAAGATTCTAGCCTAAAGTATACCTCTTACCTTCTCTTATAAAAGTAAGCCTTAGTCTTAGTTAAGAGAATAGCTTATAATAAAATAACTATCTAACGTTAAAGAGTAGAATAACTATATTAATAGTTAGAACCTAATCTAGAAAGGTCTAAGCTTAGAAGCTAACTATAGAAAAGTAGATTATAGAACTCTAATAAGTTATTATAGTACTCTAGAAGATAAGCGTTTAATAGGTAGAAGAGCTAGCTACGGTAAAGCGCTAGGCCTAGGCTAAGATTACTCTACCTAGACGCTTTAATAGTAAGAGAGAGAACCTTAACGTATTTCTAGTAGCTATAGAGCTCTACCTATAATATAATACTATAGTGTTTCTATAGAATAAAGATAAAATTCTAGAAGCTATAATAAATATAAAAGAAGAAGCCTTTACGTAGGCTAAACTCTATATATTAGACTAGCTAGAAAATAAGAGTAATATAAAGAGAATATAATAGTCTATAGATAAAATCTTTAAAAGCTAGACTAGGTTTACAAAGTACCTTAGAGAAATATTTAGAAAAGTTAATATATATAAAGTAACCTAAGAAAAGCTATTTAGACTATAATAAACTAGATTAGCATTCTAGTACGTAGTAATATTTAGGTAGCTAAGCGCTTACCTAGACTAGAATAACCTTACGCTAGCAGAACTCTTCTATAAGAGGCTAAAGAAATTAGTTAAGAATAATATTACGCACGCTAAACAACTAGAAAATCTAAGTAATACTATAGAGATAGTAGTAAAAATTAATAACTAGTAGTATAAATAAAACCTAGAATATTAATAGAGTAGAGACTACTCTATACTATTAATAGTTAGAACTAGATAACTATAGACTATATTCTAGAGAAATTCTATAAACCTAGACTAGGTTAAGACTCTATAGAAGGGAAAATAAACTCTACAAAATAAGAAAAAAGCATAGTACTTTAAGAAAGAACTATACCTAGTCTATAAAGAAAAGAGACACTTCGCGCAAGAATACCTAAAGAAAAAGAAAATAGTTAGAATAATCTAAGTAAACTATAACAGCCTTATATAGATAGCATACTATAATAATAGCTATATAATATACTAGAAAGATAAGATTAACTTAGAATAGTATCTAACTAAGGTTAAGGCTATTATACTAAAGTACTCTACGTATATAGAATACCTTACTCTAGAAACTATCTAATAATATATTAACACCTAATAGTACTAGATATACGTAGAAACCTATAACATATAGAGCTACTAGTACGTATATTAGAATATTCTATTTACTAATAAAGAATTATAGAAGACGTTAGACGCTCTTAAGAAAGTAGCTAGATTAGTAGAATATCTTATAGATAAGAAAGTATATTTATATATCTAGAAAATATACTAAGAGTTTTCTATAAACTACTCTAGAGCTAGAAAAGCTAAGTAGTAGTAACTAAGGTATATAGAAAGAGGTAAGTATTAGAACCTATTCTATAAGGTATATCTAACTAAACTATTCTAGAGAAAAAAACCTTCTAGACTATTTCTATATAATTAGAAAATTAAGGTACGCCTATAGTAGAAGCTATACTAGCTATGCGAAGGCAACTATCTAGAGTATAACTATATCTACTAGATCTACTCTTTAGTAATCTATAGCGAAGAAGAAAAGGCTGTAGTTAAAATAGCTATTAGTACCTAAGAACTAGATAGCGAGAAAATTTAAGTAGCTACGTATATAAACCTACGCTCTAAGAAAGAAACTAGTAGAATAGTAACGCTAGAACTAGTAGAGAAGGTCTATAGCAAAGAACACTACGCTAAACTATAAAATTAATACGCTATAGAATACTAATACTACTAGAAATAATACTAGACTATAGAATAGAGAGCCTAATACTCTAATTACTACACGCTTAACTATAGATAGTACTTTCTAGAATAGAAATACTCGTACTATAGAGAAAGAGCTAAGAGTAAATATATAAAACTACACTAGACTATATACTTACTAGAAAGATGCCTAGTATATATAGTAGAAAAGAAATAGGAACTAGTACTAACTACCTCTTTAAAGTTAAAAAACTAGCAGGCCTCTAAGGTAGAGGTCTAGCCTAAGAAGGCCCTATTTAGACTATAGGTAAGATTATTACTCTAAAACCTAGAACGCTACGTGTAAAAGCTATATTAGAAAGTAAGAGGCTTACAGCCTATATAGATAGTAGAGTAGTAAAAACGTATATTTTTACTAGCCTAGTAAAACTATAGAATATACTATTTTAAGAAAAATAATAACTATACTAAGTATAACTTATAGATAACTAGCTACCTATCTTTAGCTAAGAATAGATTTACTTAGAAACTAAGGTATAAGTATTAGATATCTAGAGAATATAGAAATGATAATTCTATAATATTATAGAACTAGAAAATATAGACGTACTTCTAGAACTAGACTAGCTATAAAGATATAATTCTAATATTAGTTAGATTAGGTTAGAACTCTAAGAAAGGCCTAGAGTAGTATAGAAGGCTAGAGCAAGATACTACTTAAGAGCTTACTAAAAGCTAGAGGTAAAGATTAGAAGAATATTATTCGTAAGTTTAACAAAATAAGTAAAGAAATAACCTTAAGACGTTAGCGTTGTATAGATATAAAAGCTATAACCTAATATAGAGTAACTACCTTAGAAGGTTAAGAAAGACTATAAAAAGTTCGCGTTATTATTTAATAGACAGAATAACAGCGTTCTACCTAAACATAAACTATAGAATTATAAGATACCTATAGAAGATAAAGCTACGCTAAAACTAGAGCTAATATACCTACTTAGCTATAAGTAAAGAGAGAAACTCTAAAGGTATCTAAAGAGACTTCTATAAAAAGAGTATATTTAAGAAAGCTAAAGCCTAATAGCCTTACTAATACTATTTATACTAAAAAAGAATAGATAGTTAAGGTTATATATTAACTACTAATAGCTTAACTAAGTAACTTAAAAGAATTAATATCTACTACTTATAATCTTAGAACTTATAGACTAGCTTGCAGGAGTATAGTAGTTTACAAAGTTTAATATCTAAGAAGAGTACTACTAAATATAGATTAAGAAAGGCTATAAATAGAAAATAGCCTTTAGAATAAGAGAAGGTCTATATAAATACCTAGTTATGCTATTTAGACTTACTAACGCACTAGTAATATTCTAAAGTATAATTAACGCAGCTCTATATAAATACCTAGAAAGGTTTACTACAGCCTACCTAGATAATGTACTTATATACTTAAAGAAAGAATTAGAAGAATATAAGAACTACGTGTAAAGAATACTATAGAAGTTTAAAAAGTATAGACTTCTAATAGCTTCTAATAAAAGTAAGTTCTATTGTATAGAAACTAGCTACTTAGAATTCTACCTAATCTAAGAGGGAATTTAGATAGAAATAGACAAGGTCTAGGCGGTTCTAGACTAGCCTATACTCTAGATAGTAAAAGAAGTATAATTCTTCTTAAGATTTACAAACTACTACTAAAAGTTTATCTAAGAGTATTTATAAATTACTACTCTACTTATAGAGATTACTAAAAAAGACTAAGAGTTTAGGTAGAAAGACCTATAGTAACAAGCGTTT